GTCTTTTGTAGCTGTGTTGCCAACAGAAATCGTCAGTTGACAGAGCCCGTTCGCCGTGATATTCGCCCGGACAAAATCATCTGTATACTCCAAGTCAGCTAGATACCCAGCTGAATATCTTCAACTGGTTTTTATTCTAGAATGGGACCTACCTAAATGCTAGGGAAAGGCAATGATGGGAATGGTCTCTGATAGTGTGCTTGGTGTACTCTAATAGACTTTTAGTGACGAAAGCGTTGGTTCAGAGACTAGTGGGAATATTGTAAGGTATACTGAAAAAACATGCTGACTTTGAAAGTACAGAGAATAACGCTGAAAGTTCATTAAAAGATGAGTTGGTTGAAAAGGTGGAATCTTGTAATTCTACAATGGAAGACATATGCATATCTAGCCAGTAAATACAGTGTGAGAAGCTCAAACGAAAAACGTTTGTGCCTACAGAAGAAACTTTACATTCCTGAGGAAAAAAACCTATGAAGCTTTTCCGCAGGTTTTACAGGAATTTGCAGGAATTGTCGCTTACAATTTTTTGTAAAAAAACAGCCTGTTTAATATTAAAATCTCGATGAGGTCAGATTTTGTGGACATTTTTTCTAACACTTATGATCCATATGTCCAGAAACACACATGCGACCTGTTTTTGGTCAATGTATGTAAGCAAGATTTGAATGCCCCGCAAAATTGACGAACAAACTTCGGAGAAACGCTGACTGCCCTACATTTGTTTGCCCGCCTCAGCGCTGACAGTGAGAGGCGAGTCACGATTGTGATTAATTGAAAATTCACGTATTGTACTTTTTGACGTGGTTTTCCGCTGACCGTAGCGTCGCGGCGGCAAGCCTCGGAGTGAAAGCGCTGAACGACTGGATGAGAGAATCTCACCTTGCCCTTCTGAGGAACCATTTCATGGTAAGGGACATCCGTGAGGTCGAATACCATATGTCGTTCTATAGCAAATATAGCCATCTTGGAGATTTGAAAATATCGCGCTGGCTGTTTTATCGATCAGTTTCGAGAGCGTTCGTTCGTCAAACGGTCGTCGATGTCGAGAGACGTCGTCGTCTTCGTCGTATCAATACGCGGGCGTCTTGTACGCTTCATTAACCGTCAGCGCATAGACCAACATTTGGTGTTTACGCAGAGCGTTATGTAAACAGTGCGATATTTGGAGGCGGCGAAAACAAAGACACTACGGTACTAACAACCCACTCTTTTTGATGTGCTTCCACCATATACTGAGTGCTGTGCTACTCCGTGAGGCGAGCGCACGTTCTCAACGGAACTTCACCTACAGTAAGACAGGTGCAGATCGTCTGTGAAACAATGCCACAGTATGAAATCAGCGGCGGCGGCGGCGGCGGTAGCGGCCACGGTAAATCGATCAGCGAATCGATAGATGGCCACCTTGGTGGCCGTGATGGTAAAGGTCTGGGCGAGATGCCCCCATTGTGGTTACGTGTTCTCTGGCGAAGTGACTTTGAGACGGACGACCACGAAGACGAGGACAACGAAGAAGGCAGTTAAGTCGAGAAAATTCTGATTTAATTTTAAACTAATTGCATACTCATTACGACCACGGCTTAAGACAGCGCAGAGTGGCGACGAAGCGCCACATTACGATGATAACCAATTGCACAATTGCGGTCGTTTTGGCGATTTGTCGTGACCGGTCATAACAAATGGGCCTGCACTTGGCCGGATTTGGGCAGTCAAAACGCGGCGATCGCTCGACGACCGCCTTATCTGTGGGCATTACGTGTGGTCGGCTGATTCTCGATGGTCCTCATCGTCTCCTCTAGAGGAGAGCTCTTGACGTCGCCCCAAGAATCGTTGCCATCGATATCAATCTCCGCCGCTGCTCGCGGCAAAAACCACATCATCGTTTGCTCCAATGGGCGCCGAAGCTTTAACGGATCTGCTCGTCGACGAGCCGTCGTATGGTCCAGCGACGGCCGTCCGGCCACACCACTGACTCTAATCGCGCCGTTCCTCAATCGACAGCTGCGGCTTAGACGCGCCTCGCTTCGCCGGAATGCTGATCTATCATCGCTGACGCTTGAACGCCTTCCTGAGGTGCCGCCATCGTGAGGAGGTTCCTAAACACGAATCGTCGTCAATGCCTGTACCATCCTCTGCTCTGTGACGGTGGCTATGAGTTGCTACCGCCACTTTCAGTGCAGCGGCCGCAGAGAACACAGTGCCGTTGCCCAGATCAGCTCTATGCGTGCATACTGTTAATCTTACCTTCAATTCTTCAGCTGTTTGCCAGGTAGATTTTGGAAATTTCCACTTTCAAATGTCTTAAAAGTCACGGTGCACAGTTTCATGTTAATGACTTCTTTTCCATAGAGAGAACGAACATGATGATCGTGTATTATCCTTGGTTCCTGATTGCTAAAAGCGGCTAGCATCTGTCAGGATTGACTTTTCAAGGTACCAATGAGAGTGTCTCCTGTAATGATATTCTTCTGAGGTGTCCTTTAATTAGCAATGAGACAGGACTTAGATTCTTTATATCACCAATTGCTGTTGATTTGTCCACGCTGTAATAAAACCATCCGTGACAGGAAAATTTAAGTTTCTGGATAGATGGTAAAAATTCACTTAGAAGGGCGATGTCTAAGTTATGGCGATTTGCCGAAGCTTGAAAAGTGAGACACTCTTCAGTGTCAAGAATCCTTTTTCACATGAAAGAACCACAAACGCGCTGTAAGGATAAATTTAATTGTCTGTGACGAATGCAAGGGATGGAACCATCAGCCACAAACCTAAGTTGGCGTTAAATCAACGTGAATATGCAGAAAAGGAGTAGCTCAGCTGAATGAACTTTAGAATAGCAATGAAAAGATCTGCCACTCAAGTCGATGACAATAACAACTACTTTCAGCTCTTGTAGATACTCATGTGTCACCTGGCGTGGAAGGCGGATGAAAGAATATACGTTGGGCTTACAACCTAAGGTGACATATTATTTTTATAAATAGAACTTTTCTAATGATGTCTGAACAGTGCGAAATCCGCATTAAGGAATGATCCTGAAAAAAGCCAGTTATGAAGTTATAAGAAATTAAATATCACAGCATTTAAAGACATTTTCTTCTTTCTTCCCAGTTAGGCGTATTTCGATAAAGGTCACAGTGATGCAGACGATGTTAGGTGTTATTTTTCTCGATTGTGCATGATCAGTGCTGTTGCAAGTAAATGTTTGCATTAATAGTGGGTTTGGCGGATTATTAAGGGAAAATGACAGCCTCGTCATACAAATGATATGACTTGGAGTGAGGGAAAATTGCACAAGCAATTTCAAACCATGAAAAATTTTTTCATACGTTCAGTACTGATAGACAAGAATAGGTGAATTTTGAACTGTGTGGTGCAAAACATCATTTTTATTCAAAAACCGTCATTTTGTGCAACCAAGACAAAACCCACCAGTTAAATATTCCAAATATTTAGGGATAGCCAACTGTTTTATGCCTCGAGCAGAATTTTCTCCCCAGCGAAAGTGGGTGTAGAAAATACGTTTCTTGTTTTTGTAATTCTACAAAATCACCAGGGTCTTATCATCCTTTAACTTTTTCTCCCATGCACGGTCTACAGAAATAGTAACCTGAGTAACAAAACGTACTGTTACAGATGTCGCCTTGGATTAGCTGAACTGTGAGCCAGAAATATAAACTTTATTGAAAAAGAATACTGAAAATTACGGTTTGTCGAAAAGACTTTCGTGCCAGGTAACCGGCAAAGAGTGAGGCGATTCACTTTCCCAATAAGAAGAAGGCATGATCAAAACAGCTGCATTTGTTCCTGCTGTAAAATTACCATTAGATAAAATGTTAACAAGAGAATTATCAGTAATATTGGCGAAACAGAGTGTGATTCATGGTTATCAAGAGCTTAATTATTGTAATGAAGAAGTCCTATAATTCTTCAGCAGAAGAACTCCCCAGCTGCATTACAGTTGAAGCTACGGAAAGGATTCTTGAGCTGACCTGCTTGCAAAGATTTTATTTCTGCCTTTCGATTAGCGACTTACCATACGGCACAGCTTCAGGCCTAAATGGTGATGCGCTAATGTGATCACTAATCCTTAAGGCTTAGATCACGGTCTTTCAGTATGTTTGCCCTCTGAAAATCCTAGTGGACTGTTTATGAAAAATTCTTTAATATCTTACAGTCCCATCTATCAATATTTACTTAGTTCAGAAAGGCAAATTATTGTACAAAATTTTGGACTTAGGTAATCAGTCATGACAATATTGATTGCGAAATGATATTACAGCCATAGTATTTTCCCATCGTCGATTTTTCATTTACTAATTAAACCCAATCATTTCCAAACGCATGGACGATGGGATCGGTGACACCATGATTGAATGATATCTTAGAAACACCTAAATCTGCCACACTGGAATCCTTGACTTCAGAAAATTGATGTCAAGCCTATCAAAGAGTTTCTAATGCCTCTAGTTTAGACAATGGTTCGTTTCGACGTTTAGAAGTTGTTCAAATTAGTTATATTGGGTACAACTGACAATGAGCAAATAGATATTTTTTTTGAGTCCACCCTTCAATCCACTCCATCATAGATAATTAATCTCTAAACCTAGTCAAGAAAGACTGGTGTATTGGAAATTAATTCAACAGCGCAGGTACCGTTATCCCAATAATTCTGTTGGCAGCTTCGACGACCGTTCTATTTCATTGATTTCCGTGATGCTGTTTACTGTTCTACATCCTACGGATATAAAATGGCACGAATGTTTTATATGATTTAATTTACAACTATTCTTTTGTGGTTTAAGACGAATTAGCATTAGAAAAGTCTTTTACAATCTTGGCTAACTCCCGCTGCATAGTTGCTTGAGTGCAACTCTTGCCCATGTCAAGATTTTTGAACATCAGGTATGACTGCTAATAAAACATGTCCAGAGATTCTTTGTATTTGATAATATGTTATGATTTTTTCCAGGGTCCATGCCATTGCGACAGGTGCAATTTAGACAGATCCCTAATTCCCAACTCTCCAATTTACTGACAAATTCGGATATGTTTCTTTGTGTCCACGGATAGGTAAGACAGTGCCTGCATGTGACTGTCGGTCTCGCTAAAATATAGGGTGTATATGCACCTTTCTGTTTTTAGTTTAAATGCAATAGAACACCAAAAAGCAAACGTAATACTACTTAAAATATTGTAGCAATGGTCGCCATGTCTAGCAAATCGCCCAAGCTCCTTCATGCCTAGTTTATTTCGCTGTCTGTTCCATCGTGGTTGAAATTTTTACTGACGTTTTGTGCTGTTTATGGTCTCTAAAAACAAACGGGCCGTGTGATTTTGCCGTAAATGTCAGCTTAATGACTCATAGTAGACATCCATTCATACCGGTGACGTAAATTATTCTCACCGATTTAAACCTCGGAGGTTTCTGTTTCAACGCTTATGCATGAAAATATTTTTGTTGTGGCACGAGTCTGCTTCTTGTTAGAGTCAACACGAAGATGTCGATGTGCACCCACGATCTGAAAGTGCTCAGATACTATTGATCACAAACCAAGGCAAATGTCTTCTTAGGCCCATATGGCAAAAGGCGGCGCATTTTTGCCATGTCACCCACAGTAATAGTCGGTATTAGTCGTTTTCAACGAAAGTAGTTGTGAAAACCAAGCGTTGACTGTTTAAACACAAGAACGTACATATTGTACTGACTGTATGCTTAGATTCATTAGCGATTTAGTTAGACAGGTTGACTGTAAATGTGATATTGTAGAAAAACATTATAGTATTTCCAGAGCAATGATATAAACTTAATGTTGGATATCTGTAGTAAAGAAAGTAAAATCAATTTTAGATAATTTTAAAATTCCAAATTTGTTTTATGGCCAAGTAAATGTTGTAGATTTCTGAGGTTTGTAACTCTGTGCAATTTAATGCAATATGTCATTTATTTGATGCCTTATAATCTAAAAGTTGGAAAGTACAGAAGGTCATATAGTTTCTTCAGCTCTGTCCTTCAGTATCTTCAGACACGCGTCAGTAAATTTTTAAATCTACTAGGTGCAAAAATCTACCATTGAAAAAAACGTATCTTTACTTGGAAAATGAATTTACACCTTTGAAGATTCTGAATAAAGAAATTAATTAGAGCAATATATGCTGAGATGAATTTCTACGGATTAGATCTGGCAAGCGGGCTGAAGTCTCCTCTATACATCACTTGTACTATGCAAAGTAAAATACTTGATAATTTTGTGAAACTTTCATCGAAAGAAACTATACTAAGAATATTGAAGATATTTCTTGCGTATGGCAAAATATTTAAGGCTAAATTCAGCGGTCAGGTTATGCAGCCTGCCCACCTTGATGACATTGGCATGCTTACAGAGAAGCCATTATGGATAGCAAAAGTGGAAAAATGAAGCATAACATTACCACAAATAATCATGCATGCCGTCGGATATGCGCTGTAATTTTATTTTTACCATTCAACCTCAGCTACGAGTTAGATGGATATGGAAGAAATAACGTAACGAGGAATAGCATTCGCGCCTCTTTCTATATCATGAATTATGATAGTAAGTGAACTCCCGAACTTAGTAGCCATATGTTGT